TCCCGTTTTGGGTGTTTACACGGAAACGACAACGGTGGCGTTTTCAAAAACTTGCACTTTGAAACCCGTTTTCAAAAATATCCGATTTCATTCCCCAAAACGCCGTTGTCGTGTAAACGAACAGGCAAAACGCATAAAAAGTTTCCCGTTTTTGGCTGAAAACGTTGTCGTGTAAACGGCCCCTGAATGATGGCATCACCAAAATGCTTTCCGCTTTAGGAGGCCCTTTGAATAAAGTTAAATACTTGAACTTAAAAGAGTATTCCACATACAATTTAAGGTAAGTTCAATCAACAATGTTGGTACCTACAAAAAATTATTTCTACTTTCCTTTTCAAGACAAATATATTTTTATAGCGCTTTTCAAAACACACATTGAAAAATCAGGCAGCTGATTTTTACTATATATATAGTATACAGGGTCACACTTTATTTTAATGTCCAGTTCAGTTAACTACTAACTATGACTTTTGCCTCAATAAACACTTAATAACTGCTTATTAATAGTTCGTAAGGTAGTTGTTAAGTTTAGGTATTGGGTAGGATTAGGGATGTAGAATATGGTCATGCAGAATATGTGCTTTATAAGTACTAATAAACAGCCAATATGCTAGTAATATGCAAGCTAATTAGCAACTAGTTAATAGTGAGAGCTGGTCCCTATACTAAAGTGTTACCATATACAGTATATCACTTTATGTGAGTGCACGCTATAAAGCTAAATCTGGGTAAAGCCCAAAGTATACTTTAGTTTTGACGCAAACGTTTCATGAATGCATACAGCCGAACGCTTGTCTGTGCCATTTCTCTTCAGAAGTTATGACACGGAGAAAAAAATAAAGTTTTTGTACTTGTTTAAAGTAGTTTTTTTCTCCCCCTAAAGTTTTGTTTTTGGTGTGGGGGGGTTGTTGTTTGCTTAATTTTTTTTAATATATTTAATTTAATTTATTTATTTTTGTGTGGTAATCAACATAGACAAATGTAGCCAATTTACCTTAAAGGGTTAGTTTACCCAAAAATATAACTAATTTACTCACAAACATATCATTCCATAAGACTTTCATTCACCTTCGAAACACAAATGAAGATATTTACGTGAAATCTGAGAGGTTTCTGTCCCTACATTGAAAGCCCATTTCTCCAAAACTTTTTCCAGAAGTTCGCAAAAGCAATGCATTCAAATATGAACATTAAAAATGATAAACGAAGCTTTTTATGTGAATAAAATTGGTTAATCATATAAAGCAATAATGTTCCTTCAGAAGATTAGGATTAAACCTCTCGATTCATATGGATTACTTTTACAATGTCTTAATGAACCTGTTTAAGCATTAAAAATTCAATGGAGGGACAGAAATCTCAGGTTTTATTAAAGTCTTTGTGTTTTGAAGATGAACAAATCTATGGGCTTGGTACGACATGAGGGTGAGTAAATAAGAACAGAATTTTCGCTTTTAGGTGAACTAACCCTTTAACTTGTATTGAACCAGGAATATTCCTTGAACATGTATGACAGAGGAAGTTAGATATACTATATTAGTCTTTTTAACCTCAGGTTAAGGCCACTTTTAACCCTGGGTTAAGCGCCATTTCACACTTGTAGATTTAAATAGGGTTCGCACTGATTTTGCGCTGGCAAACGTATATGTTACATTGCTGGTCTTGTGCTCAATTCATCAGTGCATGTTATTCTTTCAAATTTTTCATCTGCTCAACATTTTGCAAACTCACATTAAGATCTGGCTCCCTTTCTAATATAGAACATGATCCATGATTACGCATTTCTGAACATTATATCAGTAAAATGGGTTACGATTGGGTTTCATGTTAACATGCATCAATGTACAATGCTAAGAACTGTAATGGAGTATAGTTTCAGAAGAACTCTGTCCTGCTAATTTATGTTTTCTTGCTATAGGGTATATCAAACAGACAAACAATGATGAATACACCTCAGAAAAATAGCTACTTGATTTTGAAATCATTTATGCTCAGTAGTGGCACTTAAATAGAGAATTGAATTAGCTCAGGTTCAGGTTACCTCTACTCAGAGAAATATTTAAAGTTTTTAAATTAGTAATTAATTTAGGGTGAAATTCACAGTGTCTGCATCAATAATACAGGTGGACAGTGCTGTTATCTTATTTAAGCAGGTCTGTGCTTGGCACTGCTCTCTAATTACCATATTCATGAAGTAAACAACCATTGTGAATAACTTTTGACAAGCTAATGCACTATATGCTTAATGCATTTAAATAATCCAGTTCAGTTCTGGTATAAAAACACTCTCATAAATGGGTTAAAAGTATCAATTTCCAAGCATAAGCTGATGTACTTTTTCAGCTCACACTAGAAGACTGAGGATTGTTGCCTTGCGCCTTAAAACACATTCTCACAGTAACAGCAAAGTTTTTAGTTTTTTTTTTTAATGTCAAAAAACAACATGGAGGGCACTAATTTGCACAGAGCTGGAAACATGGATGTGTGTGCTTGGGGAGCAGCTTGATATTTATTTTGCCCCTGCTTCCCAGTGCATCACTCTCTTAAACGCTGTCGTTCATCAGGACAGTGTGCGCACCAGATAAGCCACTGTGACAGACAGGGGCTTCTGGTTGCCAACTTAAGGCAACGAGTTTGAGACTTGCTTTGTGAACTTGTACGTGTGAAACATCCATTCACTTATTGCGTTAAATGTTTGGACTACTGAATTAATGAAATACAAAAACACGTGTAGAATATTCCAACCACTTTCTCTTTGTTCCAGATCCCAATCAGACATGGCAGTGGAATCACTAGCTGCAGAGATTCTGAAGGGCACCGGGTCCCAGGCAGAACTCAGATCCACAGAACAGAGTTTCACGCCTGGTATTTAATGTGGATATATTCATACTTTTAATTTGTATGTTACTATGACTTATAAATGACATTTCGCAAGAGACTGTTGAACTCTTGTGATAGTGATTGCAAAATATATTCTGTAATTCTAGAATGATTGTACCACTTAAAATCACTTTGTTTACATTTAGTGTATTTCAAAAAATAAAAATGTCCACAATTGGATAAATTTAAAGTCCATTTTATTGTTTAGCCAGGTCATTACCAAGTCTCCAACCAACAATTGCAGGCTACAATAATTAGGGGTTCTTTTCAAAACCTTTCTAAAGCTACCATCAAAAAAATAGATCAAGACGAGGAGGAAGGAAAAAAAAGGCAAAACTGGCCCCAACTGATTGCAAACCCTTTGGAACATTTGTGATTTCTTTAAAGCAAGAGAACTGATATTTGGACTTCTCCAATTCTTGGTTTTATACAAAAGCTACACAAATGTTACATTTGATAAGAATACAATTCAACTGATTAATTAGTGTTCTACACCATAAACTCTTGATGGATCATTACCACTATAACTCAACACTATGAGAGAGAAAGAGAGATGGTCGAAAGGAATACAAAGTTCTGCAAAATAAAAGACGAGTATCATAAAGCAAGCTAGAGAAGTATCATTACAGACTGAAATAATCCTTTGAAAAATAAAAAGTACAGGCAAGGCTAAGGTTGAAAATTCCATCTTAGGATTTGCTTTTTGGGCTTTCTTCTGTCAATCACACCAAATTCTGACCGACCGAGACCAGAACAAAAGTTTTACTTCCATGTGTTCCCATAGGAAACTCAGCTTGTATTAGTGTGTCAGGCACTTTCAGAGAAACTAGCCCACGCTCTTGAGCCCGCTCAGCAACTCTACAGGCCAAAATCACAATGCAGGTTCATTCAGATCAGACGATACAGCTGCAGCAGAGAGAAGAGACGGGACAAACAGATTAGAATCTGATTAAAGAGGAGAAACACGCACACATACAGGACTGTAATGAATTCATATGCAGCTCAGATTAGTTCTGCTACTGGCGTGCTTTACTCCAGCCTTTCAAATCTCCTACACACAGATCAAACAACCGGCCATTCGCATCGAGTGCGTGTTTGGGTGTCTTGGTGCCTCACCTAAAAAGTCATTGTATTTACAGATCAGTATCGAACCAGGCCAGCTGATTGCTGTCGCCCGGCGGGAGGCCGTCGATCAGGTCCTGGGCGTGGCCGAGGTCGGGCAGGCCATCTACGGGGTAATCTGGGCCCGGGTGGTGCCCGCCCATCTCGTGCTCCATCATGGGATCCATGACCATGGCATCCTGCCCGTAACCTCCGGAGTGGAAGGAGCGGTAGCTTGGGTCTGGAGGATGAGGGGAGTGGATGGGAAGTGGAGGGAGCACACACACACACACATGTACGTTAGAGGAAGCATATTAAACGGGCAGCTCACAACAGCACAACCTCAGACCCACAAAACCAGAGAGAGAACACAAGGCATGTGACCGAACTATGGTGCCTTAGTTTCTTTTTTTTTTTTTGGATGGGTGGATGGATTACTTATCTATAGGGATGTAACGATTCACTTAACTCACGATTCGATTCACGATTTTGATTTCACGATTCAATTCAAATGTTACATTTGATAAGAATACAATTCAACTAATTAATTAGTGTTCTACACCATAAACTCTTGATGGATCATTACCACTATAACTCAACACTATGAGAGAGAAAGAGAGACGGTCGAAAGGAATACAAAGTTCTGCAAAATAAAAGACGAGTATCATAAAGCAAGCTAGAGAAGTATCATTACAGACTGAAATAATCCTTTGAAAAATAAAAAGTACAGGCAAGGCTAAGGTTGAAAATTCCATCTTAGGATTTGCTTTTTGGGCTTTCTTCTGTCAATCACACCAAATTCTGACCGACCGAGACCAGAACAAAAGTTTTACTTCCATGTGTTCCCATAGGAAACTCCGCTTGTATTAGTGTGTCAGGCACTTTCAGAGAAACTAGCCCGCTCTCTTGAGCCCGCTCAGCAACTCTACAGGCCAAAATCACAATGCAGGTTCATTCAGATCAGACGATACAGCTGCAGCAGAGAGAAGAGACGGGACAAACAGATTAGAATCTGATTAAAGAGGAGAAACACGCACACATACAGGACTGTAATGAATTCATATGCAGCTCAGATTAGTTCTGCTACTGGCGTGGTTTACTCCAGCCTTTCAAATCTCCTACACACAGATCAAACAACCGGCCATTCGCATCGAGTGCGTGTTTGGGTGTCTTGGTGCCTCACCTAAAAAGTCATTGTATTTACAGATCAGTATCGAACCAGGCCAGCTGATTGCTGTCGCCCGGCGGGAGGCCGTCGATCAGGTCTTGGGCGTGGCCGAGGTCAGGTAGGCCGTCTACGGGGTAATCTGGGCCGGGGTGGTGCCCGCCCATCTCGTGCTCCATCATGGGATCCATGCCCATGGCATCCTGCCCGTAACCTCCGGAGTGGAAGGAGCGGTAGCTTGGGTCTGGAGGATGAGGGGAGTGGATGGGAAGTGGAGGGAGCACACACACACACACATGTACGTTAGAGGAAGCATATTAAACGGGCAGCTCACAACAGCACAACCTCAGACCCACAAAACCAGAGAGAGAACACAAGGCATGTGACCGAACTATGGTGCCTTAGTTTCTTTTTTTTTTTTGGATGGATGGATGGATTACTTATCTATAGGGATGTAACGATTCACTTAACTCACGATTCGATTCACGATTTTGATTTCACGATTCAATTCACGTTTTTTTTTTTTTTTGTACAA